GCTGTTTTTATGTTGTTGAAGTCAAACGTGTCAGAGAGCAGAGGGTCAGACTGTTTCATGTTTCTTTCTGTAACTCTGATCAACGTGAAAATAAAAGATGAGTTTCCTGTCACTGTGTCTGCTTCAGTCTGTAAAGTAACCTTGAACATATTCAGTAACTGACAATCATTAGTGTGGATCATTGTGAGTTTCCACAAATCAATTTGTTACAGGCAGGAAGCTCTAATCTGTCCATCTTCATCTGTACGGGCGATCGTGGCTCAAGAGTTGTGTGTCCGTCTTGTAATCGGAAGGTTGCTGATTCAAGCCTCTGCTCGGACAGTCTCGGTTGTTGTGTCCTTGGGCAAGACACTTCACCTACCGCCTACTGGTGATGGCCAGAGGGGCCAATGATATGGCAGCCTCGCTTTGTCAGTCTGCCCCAGAGCAGCTGTGGCTACAACTGTAGCTGCCTCCGCCTGTGTGTGAATGTGAGAGTGAATGAATAGTGGCATTGCAAAGCACTTTGATTCAGGGTCTGCACGCTTGAAGTACGCATTTTAAGTGTGATTACGTCACCGCCACGCGATGACGGCTGTCCCAATCCGAAGTGTACTTCAAATGCATACTCCAAATGCGCCGTCAATTTCCCCAAATATCAAGCGTGGTCCGGTGCACGCTTCGTGGTCCCATACATCCCACAATTCCTCACGCGGCGGTGGGTGTGGATAATCTTGATGCAAAATACGGCAGAAGGGAGCGGCCGAAGAGTGAACTGTCAAAAGTAAGTACTGAATATGACGTCACTTATTCATGTGCGAATGTTTAATAACGAAGAACATTAAAACATTGCTGTTGGCCACATGTCGGCAAAGTTATGTGACATTAGTGATGTTTGTACTTCCAGCATTGACTTGGTTTTAAAGCCTTTACTCCTATATCTATCTATCTACATGTAGATAGAGAATATTGGCCATATTATATTTACACTACCACAGTGAGATGATTTTAGTCTCATGAACAACATCAGCCAGTGTGCGTACTTCAAGCGTGCAGACCCTGAATTGGGACACAGCCGGTGAGGAGCTAATTTAGCCATTTAAATCAGCTGTGTTGGTTCAAGGACATCTAACACCTGCAGGGACACCGGCCCTCGAGGCCTGGAGTTGCCCACCCCTGACTTACACTGTCAGCTCAGCAGGGTGCTGCTGTTAAAACATAACCAGTGTATTTCTGTCTCAGCTGATTAAACACTGTTGTAATTCCCAGTCTGGCCTGATGGTGGCAGTGTTGTCTCAAAGATACAGCTCTGATCAAGATGAACCTGTAGATGATAATGAGGAGTTAGTCCTGCTCAGTGGATCTTCTGCAGTTTCATCATCCATGAAAACTCTCGTCACCTTCAGTGGGAATCACCTGGATGCTGCCAGGCAGCCCATCTCACAGGTGTGACTGCCTCTGTGAGGCCTCTGGTTTCATACAGTGAACTTCAGGTGAGAC